CAGTCTGTACCTCCAAATGCAATCACAAAATTTGAATCCATCAACTTTGAACTTCCACAAAATAAAGTATAGGACATTTGAGAAAAGCACAAAGACAAACTTGAACCGATTATAAACTAAATGAGAGATATTTGACGGAAGAAAAATAAATGTTGTTTTAACTACTGATTCAAGTTGCTAATATTACCCATAGAGGTATCTTCTAAGTGTCAAAAATGTAAGGTACCCTTTAAGCCACCTAAAATTATGCACATTATCAAGACTTTACACATGATCTATATAAATAGAATATATGTTTCATAGTAGAGACCAATTTTTATTTCTTTCATGTTTCATTAAGTAGAAAACTAAGTTGCTCCGACTCAGTGCTGTTATTCGAGACGGATTTGAATTCGAAAGTCGAATTCGGTGGAATCAAAATTTTAAGATTTGCGGGTGTGAATCCGAGTATGGATATGGGTGTGGGGATACGGATAAAATATTTCAATATTATAAAAATATAGTTATTAAGATATTCTACTTCTTAATCTTATAGCTTATAACGTCTTGTTTGCGTGGATTAAAAATTTATACATTACGTGTTAAAATTTGAAATTTTAACAAAATAATAAATATATATTTAAAAATTTAACAAAATAATAATTATATATTTAATATTTTTTACAATAAAATTTGTAGATGTAAAATGTATAAATACCTTATCTTTGATCTATATAAGGTAAAAAGTTTTTTCCAATAGAATATCTATTTAGAAATGAAATTTTAATATAACTTATAGTATAATTTAATGGTACGAATTTTATTAATTCATTCATCTAATTTTATGTAATACCATTGAGTATACGTATGAGTACTAACACACTTTAATAAATATACTAAGTACTAAATGAAACTACACTTATTTTTTTAAAAGAAAAAACCCTGACTCTGGCGGCAGACGATGTACTTATTTAAGAAAAGTCAATGTACCTTTTCAAGAAAAAGTAAAGAGCATGTACTTTTCAAGAAAGATTAAAAAAAGTCTAGCTATGTATATTTCTTACTTGTTTCAACTTTGAAGAAAAATATATAATTCTTTTACTTGTTTAAACTTTCAAGAAAAGAACTCTTCTTCTCTTTTCAGTTCTCTGTAGTCCTCAATTTTCTGGCGTTGTCGCCGAAAACTGATTTTCTCTTATTCTATTCTTCTCTTCTCTCTTCTCTGTACATTTTCAAGCTTTGTACTCTTTACATCGCCGGAAATTGATTTTTTCTTCCCCCATCTTTTCTTGGCTTCGGTAAAAGTATACGGATCGGATTGGCTGAATTCGAGACGTACCCCGCACCCGTACCAGAGTCATGTATAGACAGGTTCGCCTGCAAAAATGAAAAGTCCGTGCAACTCAGGTAGCAAATCCAAAAAAGTATATGATACAATCAATGAAAAATAATTTGAAGACGTACACATTACGTGAACGGTAAATTCACTCAGTATATTAAGAAGGGAGAAAATAGTAAGGAAATAACCTGGAAAGCTCCGCGAAACATCACAGTTGATCACAAGCAAAGAATAAAAGCTCTTTTTGTGATTTCTCTATATTTTCACCAACTTCAATTGGAATTTTCAACTTCAAAAAGAAAATAATTTGAGTATTCTTAATAGAACTAAAAACTACCATATACCCCAGCAAATTGAGATTAACTAAAAATAAAGTTTAGTAATCAAAGAAATAAGGTAGAAAAATATTTAGATAATGAAAAAAGGTACCGCATAAACTGATTTTTTAGATTATAGATGAAAAAGGTAATCAAGTTTGAATTAAAGAACAATAAGAAATAAAAAGTTCCAAAATCACATAACAATCTAAAATACTTGAGACAAGATTGGACTGGGGTTAAATGGAAAGACACTTGTATTAAGCAACTACACATGACTTTATGATGCAGAAAGAAGTACAACTAATTTATCCCTATAGATTTAAAAAAAATGACGATGTTGAAAAGCGTGAAATTCAACCCAAGGTTAATACAACAATGAGATATGGAGTCGTTATTCTAGATTATTATACTGCAACAGTTGTCAAGGCAGCTGAACTAATCCACTGTCCTAACCTTGGAGGCGGCGATGGTGGTGGTGATGGAAGGGAGGGGGAACGAGTGCTTCCTATGGAGGAGGAGGAGAACCTGGAGGCGGTGACTGTGGTGATGGATGGGAGTTTAAAAGTAGACGTGGATGCAGTTTCACAAAAATCTTAAAAGTTGAACTCATGAAATCCCCTCTAGATTTAATAGGAGTGAATTATTTCTTTGTATGCTTTGTACTAGCTATTCATGTTTTATAACAATATGGTTGTTCATAATTTTTTGTATGGAGAAAATTCTTTTAGATACTTTGATATTATTTTAATTTATGTCCACACTAATAAAATAAGGAGACGGCGAAGAAATTATTTTTGGGACTGTGAGGAGACGACGGGGCAATTGGTTATAAATGTTTTGGCAGTAGCTCTAGTTAAGTTTTCCCTCTATTTCATTTTACACGACATTATTTGACTTGATATAATATTTCTTAAAATTTATTTTTGAAATTTATAGTCTAAACTTAACTATCATTGAGAGAGTATGGAATTAAGCAACATAAAGAATAAAAGGAACAACCTCATTTCTTTTCTTTCACTCAACTACAAAATTAAAAACTGTGAGGAACGTGCCTGAGCCTTACATCTTTATACATTTCTGATGTGATAAGGGAGCACATAGTCTACCGTGGAAAATCCTACATCAAGTTTGCAAGCTCTAATTATTTGGTGTAATAATATTTTATATTTCATTTGTATAGAAATTTTATATTGCGAGTTGTACAGACATTGTTGATGCTATAAAAGCATGACAAATTAGGATTTTTAGTACAACCCAAATTAACAAGTTAATTGAAATTTTGAAGATGAAAACATATGCAGTTTCGTGTTGTTTTTGCTAAAAGAAAAAGAAGAATCACCCGCTGACTTGGAATGTGAATTGTGGTTCTCCGGCTACTCCTCCTCCGCCGAAGCCTTTACAAGCGAATCCCGATGTTGAAAAATGAGAAATTAAACCCATAGACAACTCAGTAATGAGAGATGGAGGGCTGATTAGTCATGGTGCTGCTGCTGCAATAATTTTCACCGCTGCTGTTATTGATAGTGCTTAAAATTGGGGAGGAACAAGTAGTTGATGTGACAGCGAAGGTAATGGCAATGGTGATAGTGATGGGTGTAGTGGCCCAGGTGGGAGCTGTGGAGGCAGAGGTGGTGGATGTGGAGGCGGAGTATGTGGTGGTGGTGGATGTGGAGACAGAGGTGCTGGATGTGGAGGCAGTGAATGCGGTGGTGGTGGATGTAGAGGTTAAGGTCTAAAAGTATTGGTAGCAGGAATCAATTTCTGATATTTAAATAACTTAAATCTATATGATACAATCTTTCGACCATGAGCCTGTAGGGAACCTCCCAAATAAGAGATATAGAGTTCGAAACTCCTTACATACTTTCTCGGTCGAACTTGTCACACATGACTTGTTTAATGTGGTTATCTCAAAGTTGTGATTTACATGCTATTATCCTGAAATGGTTGGGAATTTCATAGTCATTGAAAAATTAAAGATCTTTCTTCAAGGATATTTATAGATAAGCCAGTTGATATTCTATTCACGTACAAACACTTATTTAGGTTTTGAGCTAAGCAATATAGAGGTTAAGATATTGTAGTACATTTTATCATGCTAAATTATAAGAACAAATGACTGCATTCGTCATTGGCGATAAAATATTGAATATCATATAGTTCTCACCTGAACTTAGAAGGTGCAGCTCGCTACTCAGAATTATCATTTACATTTACAAATCAGCTTTTGGAAAGATCATTTGAGACAATGTACAATAAATTCTTGAGTTGTCTTAAAAAAAGTTGCAAAATCAGTAATATTGTAAGCTAAATTTCATTACTTCTTTTGGGAACCATAATTTACGCAGTACTAATAAAACCAAAGAAATAAACTTAAACTACTATTTGTGTTGAAAAAGTAGTTTTAAGAAGAGCTGGGAAAACACAATTTTGTATTCTGCCTTTTCTCTTTTACATATAAAAACAGTCCGTACCTCCATATGCAATCACAAAATTTGAATCCATCAACTTTGAACTTCCACAAAACAAAGAATAGGACATTTGAAAAAAGCACAAAAACAAACTTGAACCGATTATAAACGAAATGAGAGATATTTGACGGAAGAAAAATAAATGTTGTTTTGACTACTGATTCAAGTTGCTAATATTACCCATATAGGTATCTTCTAAAGTGTCAAAAATGTAAGGTACCCTTTAAGCCACCTAAAATTATGCACATTATCAAGACCTTACACATGATCTATACAAATAGAATATATGTTTCATAGTAGAGATCAATTTTTATTTCTTTCATGTTTCATTAACTAGAAAACTAAGTTGCTCCGACTCAGTACTGTTATTCGAGATGGATTTGAATTGGAAAGTCGAATTCGGTGAAATCAAAATTTTAAGATTTGCGGGTGTGAATCCGAGTATGGATATGGGTGTGGGGATACGGCTAAAATATTTCAATATTATAAAAATATAGTTATGAAGATATTCTACTTCTTAATCTTATAGCTTATAACGTCTAGTTTGCGTGGATTAAAAATCTATACATTACGTGTTAAAATTTGAATTTTAACAAAATGATAAATATATATTTAAAAATTTAACAAAATAATAATTATATATTTAATATTTTTTACCATAAAATTTGTAGATGTAAAATGTATAAATACCTTACCTTTGATCTATATAAGGTAAAAAGTTGTTTCCAATATAATATCTATTTAGAAAGGAAATTTTAATATAACTTATAGTATAATTTAATGGTATGAATTTTATTAATTCATTCATCTAATTTTATGTAATACCATTGAGTATACGTATGAGTACTAACACACTTTAATATATATACTAAGTACTAAATGAAACTACACTTATTTTTTTAAAAAGAAAAAACCCTGACTCTGGCGGCAGACGATGTACTTATTTAAGAAAAGTCAATGTACCTTTTCAAGAAAAAGTAAAGAGTATGTACTTTTCAAGAGAGATTAAAAAAAGTCTAGGTATGTATATTTCTTTTTACTTGTTTCAACTTTGAAGAAAAATATATAATTCTTTTACTTGTTTCAACTTTCAAGAAAAGAACTCTTCTTCTCTTTTCAGTTCTCTGTAGTCCTCAATTTTTTGGCGTTGTACCCGAAAATTGATTTTCTCTTCTTCTATTCTTATCTTCTCTCTTCTCTGTACTTTTTAAAGCTTTGTACTCTTTACATCGTCAGAAATTGATTTTTTCTTTCCCAATCTTTTCTTGGTTTCGGTAAAAGTATACGGATTGGATTGACTGAATTCGAGACGTACCCCGCACCCGCACCAGAGTCATGTATAGACAGGTTCGCCTGCAAAAATGAAAAGTTTGTTCAACTTAGGTAGCAAATCCAAAAAAGTATATGATACAATCAATGAAAAATAATTTGAAGACGTACACATTACGTGACCAGTAAATTCACTCAGTATATTGTGAAGGGAGAAAATAGTAAGGAAATAACCTTGAAAGCTCCGCGAAACATCACAGTTGATCACAAGCCAAGAATAAAAGCTCTTTTTGTGATTTCTCTATATTTTGACCAACTTCAATTGGGATTTTCAACTTCAAAAAGAAAATAATTTGAGTATTCACAACAGGACTAAAAACTAACATATACCCCAGCAAATGGAGATTAACGACAAATAAAGTTTAGTAACCAAAGAAATAAGGTAGAAAAATATTAACAGAATGAAAAAAGGTACCGCATCAAATGATTTTTTAGATTATAGATGAAAAAGGTAATCAAGTTTGAATTAAAGAACAATAAGAAATAAAAAGTTCCAAAATCACATAACAATCTAAAATACTTGAGAGAAGATTGGACTGAGGTTAAATGGAAAGACACTTGTATTAATCAACTACACATGACTTTATGATGCAGAAAGAAGTACAACTAATTTATCCCTATAGATTTAAAATAAAATGACGATGTTCATAGGACATTATTAGAGCTGCACATGGTAAAACTTTCGTAGTAATGTCCATTCGACCATTTGTGTATCCGAGCATGTCCTAGTACAACGACATGGAACCTTAACTTCAAAATAGATTGTCAATCTTATAAATTGGATACCCCATTTCAATGTGAACAAAACATATGATCATCCATTTTGTATCTTTAGTGCCCTTCGGAAGCCCCTCTTCCTAGTGTTTTGTCTATGATCTTTTATTATCATCCTTTTTCATGATTTTTTCATCCCCTATTATTAAATCATTCTACTTTTCCTTCTAAAAAATTGAGAGGAATGACCGAAGAAAACATTAAGAAGATGCATCTACATGGATGATGATATTAAAACTGAAATCAACTAATACAATGATTTTTCCACATAGTGAAATATAAGAACTTATGTTACTTAAGCTAACACCTCTAACTTACCTCTGGCAGAAGTTCCATTTTGATATTTCCTTGTAACCTTTCAAGCGAAGAATATGGAAATTCAAGGAAGAAAATAAGGAAAATTTAAATTTCAAAAGTTCAATTGTTTCAAAAGCGTAAAAATTCAATACAATCTCCATTATAATCTAGTGAAAGTTCTGTTTTCAAAAAGATCCATATTTCATATACAAAATAACAGAAGAAAGTGAAAATAAAAATTTGTACCTTCAATTCATACAACTTCCACAACAATAGAAAAGACTGGTTACTTGAGTTACTTAATAACTGTTGAGCACAATTCAACCATTTGCGAAGTTGATTCATCACCCTCATTTATAGATCATCCTAAAATATCCATCATGATTCTATGGAGTTCATAGACGTAGATTCACCTTTTCCCTTATTTTTTCCCTCTGTAATCCCTCTCCTACCATCAGAATATCACTTTCGAACTCATCCGAATAAATTAACGACAATCCTTGAAAATGTATGTGTATGCATATACTAATGTAGTATCACAATTGTACCTTAGATAAAAGGTTCGGATAAAATTGTGAAAAACGAAGAGCACTCAACTGTATATTTGTGCTTGTTACATTGATATAATGGGGAATGAATAGCAACGTGGAAGTTCCAGGGCCATTTCCAGAGACACGTACATTACAATAAAGTAAATAGTTTCTGATAACAAAATTACCCTTGCTTGTCCCACCATATTTCCAGCATGAAGTACAAGTCTTAGATGCTATGTTCGTCCCATAATTCCCATTTCTTTATAGGAGGATAAGAAAAAATTATTCAGAAATAGTATACACTAAGAACGGAAAAACATTTATTACAAAAAAATGTAGAACCAAAAAATACATAGGATGAGGCATCAAGCAAAAAAAAAAATGCCAAGGGGACTTAAAGATGCTGGTAGGTGGGTCTCAACCATGTCCACTTATCAATCAAATGATGCTTCATACAAATATGAATTGGCGTACCTTATGCATCATTAAATTTTGGCTTAAGTCATTAGTAACTCTTTAAATTTATCCGCATAATTTACTTAGACACTTCAACTAATACTATTACCAATTGAACACTTTTATCTATATAATAATCGTTTCTACTAGACATTTTTTGATAATCAACAAAAAATGTGAAGAGTGTGTGATACACTTACGGTGACGTGGCAACATAACTTAATAAAAAATAACATTTGACATTGGGCCCAAAAATTATAAAAAAACACACATTTAATATCTAAATTTTTAAAAAAGAAAAAGAAAAATGAAAATATCAATTTATTCTACCCCACCTTACCCCACCCCACTCCAACCCCCGTTCATCTTTATCTTCTTCCCCAAAACACATTCTTTCTCAAATTACAAAATCTAATTCTTTACAAATAACTTCAAGATTTTTTTTTCATACTAAGAGCGAAGAAGAAAGAAACTTTTTTTGGCGGTTATTCAACTCTACATCGATGGCAAAATGAAATTGATAGCTCCAAAATTATTTCTTTCTAATTTGTTTATATCATTTTCGATAAATTTAATGACCACATATGAATTTGATAAAAATCTTTGTTCGAAAATTGTGATAAATAAATATCGGCTAACTATTTTATACGTAAAAATCATTTATCTTTTTTCATCTTCTTCATACTTGTTCCTTGTTTTTACGAGATTTGAAATAAATCATACGAAGACTTTCTATCAAATCTGAATCTTTATAGTTGATTTTCATTTATCTTCATATTTGGAAGATATAAATTTTTTGTATATAAAAAATGAAAAAAAAACAGTGTTGGAGCTAAAATGAAGAAAATTTTGTAAACTAAATTATAATGAAGATGATAGATAGGAAGTGGGGTGTTTTCTTTTTTGAAAAAAGTGTAAATAAAGAAGAAAATATTTTTAAGTTAATTATAATGCCAAGTGTCAATAAAAGAAGAAAAAATGTAAAAAATAAATAAAAAAGACACTATTTTAAGTCTTTTTACGCACTTCAGGGAAGTGTAATACACATTTTTTGCCATATCAACATTTTGTGTCTAATAGGTACATGTTTTGAACAATTTAGGTGTTCAATAGGTACAAGTCTTAGTTGAGGTGTCTAAGTGAATTATGCGTACAACTTTGAGGGGCGGTATATGACTTAAGCCTAAAAATTTTCAAAGATACAATGTTTTTTTGTTATTTTATATGTGGTCTCAGAAAGGACACAAATGAAGAATAAATTCTCGTGATGTGCGCTCAAATACTGCTAAATGTGGTCTTGCTCCTTACCAGTTAATGGCATAATGCTACTGTGATATATTTACATAATCAGACTTGTTGAAGTGTTGTCTACAAAGTCATCTGCTGAATAAAAGTGTACCCCTTTACTTTATGGACAGGTTGTTCCAATGGTTAGATCAAATCCTGGAGAGTAGCATCCCCTTTGCAATTCTGGATGATGTCCTATAACAATCTTGTAGAATGTCATGAGAAAATTATAAGTCATCGACTGCCCCTTAAAATTGACCGCATAATTCACTAAGACATCTCAACTAAGACGTGTACTTATTTAACACCTAAATTGTTCAAAACATGTACCTATTAGACACAAAATGCTGATACGGCAAAAAATGTGTATTGCACTTTCCTGAAGCGCGTGAACTTTAAACAATGTCTTTTTTATATATAATTTTTTTCTTCTTTTATTGACACTTGGCATTATAATTAACTTAAAAAATATTTTTCTTCTTTTAGTTACACTTTTTTCAAAAAAGGAAAGCACCCCACCCTACCTATCATCTTCTTCAAAATTTAGTTTACAAAACTTTCTTCATTTTAGCTCCAATATTATTATTATAATTTTTATATACAAAAAATTTATATCTTCCAAATATGAATATAAAGAAAATTAACTATGAAGATTCTGATTTAAAAGAAAGTCTTCGTATGATTTATTTCAAAACTCATAAAAATAAGGAACGAATATGAAGAAGATGAAAGATGATAAATGATCTTTACGTATAAAAAAAGTTAGCTGATATTTATTTATCACAATTTTCGAACAAAGATTTTTACTCAAATTCATATGTGTTCATTAAATTTATCAAAAAATTTAAAAGAAATAATTTTGGAGCTATCAATGTCATCGATGTAGAGTTGAATAACCGCCAACAAAATTTTCTTTCTTCTTCACTCTTAGTATGAAACATATATATATATATATATATATATATATATATATATATATATATATATATTAAAAAAATTAATCTTGAAGTTATTGGAAAAGAATAAGATTTTGTAATTTGAGAAAGAATGTGTTTTGGGGAAGAAGATGAAGATGAAGATTAAAGGGGGTTGGGGTTAGGTGAGGTAAGGTGGGGTAGAATAGGTTGACATTTTCATTTTTTCTTTTCTTTTTTTTAAAAATTAGATATTAAATGTGTTTTTTTTTTATAATTTTCGGGGGCCAATGTCAAATGTTATTTTTTAATTAGTCATTTTGCCATGTCACCACAAGTTTATCACACACTCTTCACATTTTTATATAATTATAAAAAAAAATGTCTAATAGGAATGATTTTTGAATAGGTAAAAGTGTTCAATAGGTACTACTCATAGTTGGGGTGTCTCAGTGAACTATACAGACAACTTTAAGAGGTTGCTGATGACTTAAGCAAAAGAAAGGTGTCAAGTATTTCTTGGTTTGATTTTTGGTGAAAGATTGACCAAGAGATGGTCAAATCCTTTTTAAAATGTAATCAAGTAAATCTGGGACCAAATCAATATTTTCAAAAATTTCTAATCTTTTATAAAATATAAAAAAACACTTTATTTTTGAACTTTTATAATTCAATACAAACCATTAAAAATAAATAAAATTATTTTGTTCTTCTTTTCCCAACATTCTCTCTTTTGTTCTTCTTCTTTCTTAGAAATTCGAAAATATGACTATCTTCATAATCTTCCTCTCCGACTATCTCCATATTTTCCGCCTTATCTTTGGTCGTGACTCTATCCTCTTTCTGAACTGAAATCATGTTCGTTTTAAAATGGGTAAGTTATTTTTTTTTAAGAAATTTAACAGTTTTCGAACAATACAAAGTTTCTTTCTTGGATTAATGAACAATAAATCGTTCTATAGATGTGAAAATTGAATAATGATGTAATAATACCTATTATTTATTATTTTTGAAGGAAAATCAACCAACACAAAAAATTCTTATTTTGAGGAAATGTATATGCATTGTTAACATTAAGTGAAAAGTCATTTTTTGTTGCTTTTATTGTTCTTTTTATGGCCATTTTGTTTATATGATTTTAGAAATATAGTCTTGTTCAGTTGTCCAACATATATTTCATTTTTGAAAGATGTATCATATATTGTCACATTTTAGTGATATATTGGTGCATATTCCAACAGAGTTGTCATATGTTGGAACATTACACCTATGCTTTGGGGCAACAAAATGGTGATCTGTGGCAACAGAAAATTCATTTGTGGAAACAGTAGGTACATCTGTGGCAACATAAAATTTATATGTGGCAATAAAAAATTCATGTGTGGTAATAGTAGGAACATCTGTAGCAACATAATGTTAATTTGTGGCAACAGACTATCCATCTGTGGCAACATAATGTTATTATTATTTAGTAATGAATAGTAAACTCTCGGTCTTTTTTTTATTTACCTTGTAGATGAAATGATACAAGAAGTTTAATCCATGACAATAACACGATCTTTTATTGTTGTTATTTCCTCTTCTAACATCAAATGTTCTTTTTATCTATACGATGAATGTGAGCAGCAACATGATTATTTTATTAGTCATGTTAAAGAACTCACTGATTATTTTACAGAAATGACTTATGATATTGATGTCCATACATCCAAGAAGATTTTACAACCTTTGAAGTATAGGAGGTTGAATAAAATTCTATCAACCAATCACTATCTATAATTAGTGAAAGAAAAAAATCATTGACTACTGCTCCAGTATCACACTCAAATCCAAAAAGTAAGGAGAAGGAGAAGGAGAAGAAGAAGGAGGAGAAACAGGAGGAGGAGAAGAAGAAGGAGAGGAGAAGGAGAAAGTGAAAAAGAAAGCGAAAGAGAAAGGGAAGAAAGTTATTATATTTTCTAATTGCTAATATATCATGCAAAGATTGTGGACTTTTAATTGTTGCATACACTAAGTTTTTGAGTGATGGACTTCAAGTTCTATCTTATGAAATTAGTTCTGAAACTCTTCTCATGAGATATATTTCAATCCAATGGAATTATGAGATTTTAAAGGTTCAGAGTGGGTAAGTTGGTAATAATGAAGACTCACAGAGGCCTAGACCTAAAAAAGCAAAGTTCGATAAAAATGTTGTGATACCATCATTGATTAGATTGATGGTTATGTATACTATTGTGAATTACCTTTTTGTTAATAAGTTATATAAAACAATTGGGGAAGTGTTCATTTTTGCTGATAATATTAGTATTAATGATTATTTTTATTTTGTTGGAACAAATGTCAATTATGATGGAAAGAATGAAATGTGTTGTTTGTGGCAACATATATAACCTCTGTTGTAATAAATATCACAAAATTATATGCATGTGCCCCAACAGAAAGAATATATGTAGCAACATATGTCATAGAAAGAACTTATGTGGTTACATATGTCACATAAGAAACATTACATTGTCAGCAATTGTTCATTTTGCTGATAATATTAATATTAATGATTATAATTACTATTATTATTTTTTGTTTGAATACCTGTCAATTATGATTGAAATGAAGAAATGTAATGTCTGTGGCAATATTTATAACCTCTACTCTAATAAACACCACAAAATTATCTGCCTGTGCCCCAATAGATAGGATATATGCTTCCACATATGACATATAAGTTACAATTTTTCCAACAGAACTTGCATATGTTGCCATAGATGACGCTTCAAGGATGGGTTAATCGATAAATTGAGTGATTTATGAATGAAAAATGTCAAATTGGACCAAATTTTAATACATTGAACCATAATTAAGCAATAAAAATATGCTATAATACTTGAAACAACGATTTACAAGAGTAATGAAATTACTTGGTCATTGTATGATGAACTAGTGATATGATAGTTTTTGTAGAAATAATTGATAGAATAGATTAAGGCAGTTGTTTAAGACCATAATTTTGCACTTAGACATTTTGTAGGACTATATATTAGTGTTACATGTTGAATTAGGTGACAATTTAATTGAATTTACCCCAAAAGACACATTTTACGATATATATATGTTTCCACATCTGACATATCTGTTATAATTTTTCCACCAGAACATGCATATGTTGCCACATATGTCACTTCAAGGATGACTTAATCGATAAATTGATCGATTTAGAATGACAAAATATCAAACTGAACTGAATTTTAGTGTTTTGGATCATAATTAAACAACAAAAATATGTTATAACACTTGAAACAACGATTTAAAAAGGTGTTATACAACTGTCAT